CTGATCGTTGGCTTATGTCGATTCTGCTGTTGTTGGTTAGTACTATTCCTTATGTGCACAATTTTGGTCATAGTTATGTTATCAAGAAAGAATTCTTTTCTGGTTTCATATCAAATGAATTTTCTGTATATGATAAAACTGAAAAGCATCTGAAATATTGTATCGAATCAGCATTATCTCCCCGACGTAACAACGAAATAGTGGTTTATCCATCGAAAAAAGTCGTCGGTAAATCACATGAAGAGCGGTAGATAGCGGTACATGTTTATAAAATGTCGGTTCTTGATCTATCATCCAATCGATGATCTATGAGAATATAACAAACACGGCAGGTTGGGGAAGAAGAAAATATACCATTCATTGGAATAGGAGATGTATAATAATGGAAAGCCAACCAGATCTTTTTCCTAGCGAATTTTATGAAAAAGGCCGAAGTGAACTCTTAGCGCAATTCAAACAACGAGCTGCATCAAGATTATGGTCGGCAAAATATGATTTAGACATATTCTCCATCGAGTTCTCTGAAGCATTGTGTCTTCTAGTTGTAGCTCTTTCATAGTTAAAAGCAAATGAAATGAAAGGTAACCAATGAAATTGCCCCATTGTGATCAAGAGAAACGAATTAAATAACTGATTTCTTTTTAACATGATTCATTCTATTCTTTTAACAAATAAATACTCTTATATGAGTGGCATTGTTTTCGCACGATTAAGAAATTTCGCAGAAAAGTGAGAAGCGTCGACGAGAGTGATAACATATTGTTTGAAGACTTGGATTCACCATATGAAAATAAGAAACAAGTATAGACAGATGTCAATGACGATTGGAATATCTGAGAAAAACAGAGTCACTTGAATGAGATTTGATCAGGAAGATACAAGAAATTTTTCATGTGCTTAGTTGCGATGATAATCACATCAGAACTCAGAAAATTTCGTTGGAGAACAATTTCGAATCGAGTCATTGAAATTAGGGTTTGGTTCGGTATTTACTAATTATGTATCATGCCCACAGCCTACAGTTTCAGAAGTTTTTCTTTTCTGTGTTCCTTATGATTGCATAGGGTTCGTCGAGTTGTATTAGTAAAAGTATGTTTCAAATTTTGAAAATATATATTTTTTTTTTAAATTAACAAAGGTTATAATTTTGCGTCTATTTCCTCATATATTAGGAAATAAACGTAATTTTGACATTTTGTTTAAGTTTTTTTAAAATTTTCTTTTAAAATATGAGTCATCCTATTTCTCATGCGACTCGACAAGCTCTATGTGGCCATCATGATAAAAGAAAAAAAAAAGGTATGCTGAAATTTTAAGCTGTGGGCATCCTACAGAATCTGTGAATATCTTAAAGGTAAAATAGCACGGTTCGTGCATGCTAACAGCAACTCATATTTTGAGTGTTTGTTTCAGAGTGAGACCTTTAATTTGACCCGAATATATCTAATGTAATTAGCTAACTATACACAAACTCTTTCATTGTAAAATCAGTAAAATGCTAAAACAATGCATCCACAACATATGTTTTGAATAATAATTGAGATGGCGACATTGCAATTTACATTTTTTCTCAAAAATTAATAATCACTTGAAACTTTTTTAACACATCAAATTAGAAACAATCGACTAAAATCAGGAATTGAAATGCAAATCGGCGATAATGATTATAGGACTATCTGTTGAAATCTATTACTTGTTGGTATTCGGTTAAAATAATGATTTTAATTTAACGAGTTGTATGAAATTATGTACCCGGCATCCCAAAACACTTAATCCTAATTTCATTTGGTTAACAATCAGCATTGAATCCCGACCATTTTTTACACGTTTATTTTACATTTTGTCATAAGTCAACTTTTTAGATCTGGATTTGCATCAAGTAGCGAAAGAATTCTTTTACCATCGTTCTATTAGAAGTCTTTCTAGTTCGATAGAGATATGTGTGCTAATTGCAACCCTCAGATATTTTTCAAAAGTACCCAGATAATAAGAAAGATTTGGAGCACTCTCTCAAAGCCTTGAAAAACCAATTTTCTACCCTCAAGTTGGCTAAAAGTCAATTCAGATACATTGATAATATGTTCATTCGATGTATTTCTTTGACTCTCAGCATCTGTAACAATTACTCAGATATTCAGGTTTTTTTTGTCCATAAATATTGAATATCGACTCAGTAGCGTCATATTGTTACACATAATGATTCTTTTAGTCTTACGAAGGCATAAGATGTGGGTGGGTGTTCAATACAGTCATATCCTACTTGAAAGTAGAGTTCAATTAAATAACTATTCATTCAGTTCCAAAAACGTACATCTCATATTTCTACAACAACTACATCGAAAAGGATGAATGTGTTTCAACCTTGAAGCTTGGAACTTACAATTCAACTTTCAAGATTGACGTAAAATATTTCTTTAACAAAAGCTAATTGTTAGGACAGAACTTGTACTCTTCCTGATACAGACTGATATGAGAATCATCAGTATTGAATCAGTCGTTAGTGAAGAAACAGTTCATGTTAATTTTCTCAAAGCAATTCGTTTAAACAATGGTTATGCGCTCTATTTCTCTCTTTTTGTCTACTTATTTAAGTTACAATAAGTAATGGAAACAACTTTAAATATTAACTTTCTCTATTTTTTTCCTTTTTTTTCATATCTATTCTTCTTGTATTTCTATCGATATTTTATCGTTCCACCTGTTCCTTTTTGTTCTAATTACATTTGTCGAGATGTAGGATATGCATATAGATGTGTGGGCTGATGTAAATCCTATAGTCACCCTCACTCTCTTTGATTGTCTGAACACACTCACTCCCATCGAATCGCTTCACGCCTGCTATCAGTTTTATTTCAGAATCTGTTCGTTCACTGACTTCTGTTTGACTTCGATTTTGTTCTCACATACATTCTGTTCTCACTCAGCAATGAAAATGATTGTGCTGTTGTCATGATCATTTTTGAGGAGAAAAGAACAAGTAATTAACTAACGACAGGTCACGCTCCTGGGATTGTTTATGACTATCAGGGTTTAGCATTAGTGTTTCTTCTTCTATTACTCCACACATGGTCAAGCAGAAAGTTCTTCAATAGGAATTCACAGTCACCGTTGTTATAGTGCCTTTTGCAAAAGGTTTCATCATTCATATACTGAGCAATGATTTGTTTTAGAAAAGAAAAGTGAGAAATTTCATAGACATTTCATCTATAATATTTTGATGGACTATTGATGTGTTTAAAGTGTTTAATACCTGAGAATTCTCATCTATCGCTCATTTTTCGATGCAGACAGCATCGCTTATCACATCAGTTCTACATTTCCTGTTGCCGTTTGGGATAAAAGCACCTTAAAATGTGGTCGTCTAACATAAAATTCAACATAAGAACTCCTTATAAATACACTAATAACAACATCGACACTTTTTCATAATGACTCGTTTTTTTTCTTTTCCACTGTGACTACTATTTTGCCTATTGATAGTGAGGTATTCATAGTATATGCCGTGTAGTCTGACTCATCCATGCAGCCGTGACTGTTCTCTTGCGTTCTTTCTTTCTCTTTTCAATGTCTGTGTTCTAAACGAGAAAAACATTACACAACGTTGAGCAATTATTAAATATAAAACGCAAAAAGCACAACGCATTCATTTTTCAAACATTCTATGACTGAAACAACAATTGCAAACGCGACAGTCGTGCCAATAACACCGATACGAACTCCTGTCGTTCGTTTAAATGTCGATCAACAATGTCCTATTCAGTATGTCACTGTCTACAACGATCGTGCCGAAGTAACACGAATTCTACGACATCATTTCGACGCCGAAGGCACGTATGATCTGGTGCTTGATGGTTTTTCAACATTTGTGGATGAAACATCGTTGCATGTTAGTGGTGGAACAGGGAAGTCATGCACCATCCTAGAGGTTTCGTATCAAACGCGACATGAAGATGTCACTCCACCATCAGATTTGACGTCTCTTGAACATCTCCAAAGTCAGCTCGAAAACGTACAAACTGACATAGAGAAGCATAAGCGCGAATTAGCACGACTCGCAAAGCAACGGGTATGGCTCGATGGACGTTCGACCAAATTAATGAATCAAGACGGACCATATGCGAGTAGTGATCTCGAGAATATGCAGCAATTTCTCGATTTCTATCACAAAACACTATTAAAACTCGACGATGAAACAGCACACGAAGAAGACGAAGTCAAAAAGTTGAATGATCGTCAAGACGCTTTGAAAGCTCAAATATATCAGCACGGTGCTACAGCACAAGCGAGTCAACAAAAGACATGTCGAGAAATGACGATCGCAGTTCATGTCGCTAGTGATAAAATTGATGTGGCACTCGAAATTTCGTATTTAATCAGTAACTGTTCCTGGAGTGCCAGTTATGACGTTCGTGTCAGTAGTGTCGAAGCAAATCGACAACGAACTCAATTAACCTATTACGGAATTATAGTAAGTACTTGAGTCTTCAAAAAATTCTAAGAATGTTCCATTGTTCTTACTAATCTTTAGGTGAATAAAAGTCAAGAAAACTGGCATAATACGAATTTCTCGTTGTCCACTGCGACACCATCATTAGGTGGAACTCCACCGAAATTGAACACACTCAAAGTCGATTATTACAAACCACCAATCACTTATTATAGTCCTACTCTTGCATCAAGAACATTGAGCTGTAATGATTATGATCGTGTAAATTGTGAGATGAAGTCTGAGAGTCTGCCTAAGAAACGCTCCAAGGGAGCATTCAGATCATTTCGTGGTAAATCATCGCTTGCTTATGATCCGACCATTGAAGATGAAGATGATGAATCTGTCGAGACGAAAGTCAACGTTCTCACCTCTAAAACTGAAGCTAGCATGTCCAGTAGCAGCTTTGTCATTCCGCGTCGATCAACGATTGATTCTGATGTCAGTATTCTATCTAGCGATAGAGAATGCCTATATATTGTTTATCTTTCTTAGGGGAAACCACATAAGGTCACGATTGGTGTTCTAGACCTCACTTCAACATTTACGTATACAGTTGTGCCGAAAATGTCACTGCATGCATATCTCAAAGCATCAACAGTAAACACGTCCGATAAACAACTTCTTGCTGGACCTGCATCTGTGTTTATGGACAATAATTTTGTCACACACAGCTCGATCGATAATGTTTGCATTGGTGATACGTTTGACCTTTCATTAGGCACAGATGCCAGTGTTAAAGTAGAATACAAGCCCGTAAAGAAAATGGTTGACAAGCAAGGTCTCATCTCGAAAGCGCATCATGAGACAATTCGTCATGAGACACATATTGTAAACACCAAATCAACCGAGATCACCGTGTTCGTCTACGAACAAGTGCCTCTATCTTCGGAGGAGAAGATCAAAGTGAAGTTGGTCACACCTGATCTTCGACAAAAGGATTATGCACACAACTGCACTGTAACAATGAACGATAGCAACAATTTGGAATGGAAATGTGTATTGCAAGCGCACGGAGAATTTCGATTTCTATTAGAACATACACTCGAATGGCCAAAAGATAAACGTGTGGAATTCAAAGAAGAATAGCCATGAACTTCTTAGTGCATATTTATTTTGATAGAACACAGGTTTCAGTTCTCGATTCATGTTCGAAACAAATTAGTCCTTGAAAATAAAGCTATGTAGCATGAATATGTATTTTTCAGTTTTGAACTGGAGCAACGAACAAGTCTTTTTGTGAAAGTAGTCTCAAAGTTCATCAGTACTCTATTTTTAACTGCTGCATGGCAGTAGAGTATACTGAATGTTTGTATATCGAAATCGGCATACTTGAGTAGTTGTGTGTTCTCATTGTGGAGCATTGGCAGAATATCATCGAAATTCGTCCGCGGATCAGAGAGACTATTTTTCTCAGTTACTCGAAAGATGCTTTTCTTCAAAGTGACTGCTGAAGAAAACACTTTGAGAAAATTTTTTTGATTGCTTGAAATTCGATTCCATTGACAGATTATTTTTTCGTATCGTTTTTGGACGAGGGTTTGAGTGATTGTGAGTAAAATGAAAGTCCAGCCATCTACTCTCATATCCACAACCACATTCAATCGATGCCGATGCCGACTTGATGAGATGAGCGCACGGCAATAACATCGTCACAATGTCGTGGCAGATGCCATTTTTCTCAAGTGATTTTGTTTGATATATCATCGTTCATATACGAAATATTTATTCATATTTTATTTTTTATATACTACTACTGAAAGCACCACATTTGTCAGTGAACATAGTTATTAAGAACAGTGAGTTAGCATAAATTTTTCCATGCATCCATATGATGTCATTTGATTGTCTAACGAGAGAAGGTCCCCAAGTGTGACGCTCAGTTTTGAAAGAGATATATACCAGTTTGTCGAGCTCGACGAGCTGATTCTCATGGTATGGTTTGTTTTTCCCCATAGAACTTCAATTTCGGAAAACTGATCTATTTTTAAAAGTGAGTTATAACACTTTGCATAAGTTTCGAGACAATTGTTTGAAATTTGGAACTTCAAAAACACTTCAATTTTATATAGTCATGTTAAAAACATGGTGAATATCGCATGAGACAATCTATTTTTATGTCATTTCTAAAGAATAGAAGGGCAGTTTTTACTTGTAAAACTTTATTTCGCCATCGCTATGAATAATAATAGTTGAATTGCTACACTTGCAGATATTTAGCGATCCTGGGAGAAAACCTTGTCGTGTATTGAGAAGATGAACCTGAACTTCTTTTAATATAATATAATAATAGATTGTCTCATAGATATTCTTCATGTTTTTCATATGGCGATGTGAAATTTAAGTAACTTTGAAGTTTCAAATTTCAAACAATTGTCTCAAAACTTATGAAAAGTGTCATAACTCCCTAGTAAAAATAGATCAGTTTTCCATAATTGAACTTCTATGGGGAAAACCAAACCATACCACCAGAACCAGCTCGGCGAGCTCTACAAACTGGTATATATCTCTTTCAAAACTAAGCGTCACACTTGGGGACCTTCCCTTGTAAGTAGGAAACATTCACATTCCTTGGTTTCTTAGTACCTAAGTGAGCGTTTCTCGTTCTCTAAGCACAAGTATTCATCGTCACATAGATATTCAATATTCAGAAATGAAGATGATCAACTCAATCGAGATTCATTCATCACATTGCAACTCGAGAGATGGGTGCGGACCAAACATCTTTGAAGATCTTGTTCGACAATGAATTTTTGCTATATAGAGGAATTACTTGCTTTGTGAATGGTACCCGATCAATGTCAACTCAAAGCTTCGATGATAATTGAAGTTTTTTCTACAACTTTAATTGAACTTCTAGGATTTCTAATATTCAATTCTTGTAGAAGAACTTCTATTATAGGAAGAGTTTAAAATAACAATGTAAGTAGAGGTGTAAGCCGAGTGGTTGAACGGCGGCGGCGGACAACAGTTCTCAATTTTTGACCAGCGGCGGCGGCTACTAGTTTCAATTAGTAAGCTCTTCAGCGGCGGCGGCGGCTATAATTGGTCATGTTTTTTTTACACGGCGGCGGCGCCGGCTGATATTTATAAGTTCTTGCGCGGCGGCGGCGGCTAAGTTTAAAATTAAAATGTTCTTTTGAGAGCAAGATATTTCTATCTATCTTAACCGTTGTTCATTACCGTTTTGTGAAACTCACATATATTTTCGAAGGAAATAGTGAGTGCAAGTTTTAAAGTCGAGGTTTTCCGGATACCCTCCCATTACAGACACATAGCAACGGGGAAAGAGAACATTACAGACAACCCACCATTACAGATCTCAGCCACCACACAAAAACTTTAGCTTTACTTAACAATAAAAAAAGTTAAACAGTATGAAGAATGAGTTTGAGTCTTACACAATGTTTCAATATTTTTATAATTATTGGCAAAAACTAATATAAATTTGTTAGATTTCTTAATAATGTAATCATTGACTTTTTTTAGAATTTAAACTTGTATATTAAAAACCAAGACTAAAGAGTAGTAATACGTATTGATCTATCATACCGATGGGATATTCAATACGAGGAGCATGATTCGATATGTTTCTCAGTATCAGAAGTAAACAATATTAGCATTTATGAAGTAATTGAAATATATAATAGTGTAATAAAAGTGGCTGATGCATATAAACTACATTGTTCTAATAATCGTTTTCATCAAATAATTGATGACAAGAAAAAATAATTCCAAAAAAAATACAAAAAAAAATGATTATTGTCGATTATATAGTAACAATAATAAATAAAATCGGGCACACTCAAACGAAAATAGACAGTTTCAGTTTTAAATGTAGAAATAAATGATAAATTTATTGTTCTTGTCAGCGATTATTTATGAAAACAACTGTAGTCGACAAGAAATTTTTTTAGTTTACGGATGACATGTTAAGATAACAAGGTTGAAGAGTATACGTGAGTTCCACATTTCAGCACCAAAGGAGCTGCCCTAATAAACTTCTAACATGGCATGTTGATCTATGATTAACAGAACCACTGCTATAATTATAACGGATAAATCACAACGCCAATGATATCAATATATAAAAACTACTATTGAAGAAAAATAGATAAATCACAACATTGATATTATCAATAAGTAAAAGATTACTAGGAATATTGATGACTAAAAGAATATCTAGCTCAGTAACAGTTCTTTGTCATTTTACTTCTAGCATAGAATTTCTCTTGCTTATCACTGTATGAACAACATACATGATTGGTTACAAAGTCGACTGATGAAGATAACGTAAAAATTTTTGGATCGCATATGTATAAATGCCAGCGGCGGCGGCTTGTGTCATTAAAAATTTCTTTTAGTGACAGCGGCGCAGCGGCTGATTTTGATTCTTTGACGGCGGCGGCGGCTGAGAAATTTTTAAAATAACCTATGATTTAGGGGCGGCGGCGGCTGGTTTTCGAAGAAAATCGGTGGCGGCGGCGGCTCGGCTGGATGGCTTACACCTCTAAATGTAAGCAATAAAACCATGGAAGGGTGTGGGTGCGGATGGGTGTGGGTGTAAGGGTGTGTGTGTGGGTCGTCTCAACTATCACACTCACACCCACCCACACCTCACATCCACACACCACACCCATCTACATCCAGATCCATACCTACACCCACTTCAAAAGAAACATTGATCATCTTTTTTACAAATACCAGAGATGTAACAGGAAAAACTATAGCCTTTGGCACCAGCGACCACTGGTTCGTCATGTATACTTCAAATACGATTAGCTATCATACACATTCTTCATTTCCTCAGACATATTGGAAAGAACATGAAATTCTTTTATGTTTGCTTCAGGAGCTTTGGTTTAATCTGAAAACTCTATTTCATTAGATGACTGGTGCAAACAGTACTTTAGACTTTTAGGAGCAGTAAAAAGATCGAGTAATAACATGGAAAAATAAAGAAAAATTTAGACCAGCTCTACCTGAATTTATTCTGAAGAAACTAAAAGAGTTGAGAAAAATAAGAAATAATTATTATCGAAAAAGAAGATATGATATTGACAATAAAGCTGAGAATTTTGCTGTGAACATTAAACAGAGTAGTACAATTAGATATATCAAATTATCGATCAAAGCGTTGGACTATAGTTTCCAAGAGAATATTCAAAAAGATAAAATTAAAAACGATTTAGCCTTCTGGTCACATCTAGGAAAATTATATAAACCTAAATCATTCCCATTCTCAAAACTGAAGGTGAACAATGATGTTATAATAGAAAAAGAAAAAATAGCACAAGAATTATATAAATGTTATACAGATCAATTTCAACCTCAATCTATTGATAGAAATGATCGTCACAATACAGAGATAGAGAATGAATTGCAAGAAATATTAAAAACTTTCTCAAACTCGATGGAAATAGAACGGAT